GTTCATCATAAAGCAGTTGGTCGCTAATGCTGTCTTTTGATCCTGATTTTGATACTTGCTTGCATATATTTGACCCGTCACATCCACAGTAAATTTTGTTTACAACATGGTGCTTAGTTAATTTGTCCTTTGGAGATTTTACTTTGTTAAAAAATGGTTTTTAAGTGTTTTTGGTTTTGAGAGCTAATGTTGGGGATCGGATTTGATTTTTCACACTATATTCCCTTGTATTAAAAGTTGTTTAGATATGGTCCGTTTGGGATAACCATTTTGAAGCAAGATGGTAATTAGAAATTTCTTATTTTCCTTATGAAAAATTGAATCGTTGATGTTGAATACACGTCTAATCAAATTCAGAGCTGTGTTCCGAATTATATGATGAAGTGGTTGAGAGTTGTTGAAGTTACTATATTATATAATGTGTAAAATGTACTCTCTATGTTGTTAATTTTTATGACAGCAAATATATCGTCTATGGATTTGGTTAATAATCTAGGTTTGATCTCGTTCATCATTTTGGCAAATATATTCGCCCTAACAATATCAGCTACAACAGATCCCATTGCATTCATATCGTTTGACTGCAAATTTTATTTTCAAATATGATGGAACTATTTTCTCTAAGGAGGAAACTTAAAATCTTCATAAATGTTAAGAGACGACATATTAGGAAATAAAAGACATGATTAAGTCTTTTTACGTTTTTTAAAACGTAAAACTCAAGCTTAGCAATATTAAATCGGTACATGTTGCGAAATACTTAGACTACACGCTAAACTACGTTGGAAAAAGCATGTAGAAAACGAAAAACAAGAACTTACATTGAAGTTTAAATAGATAAAATAGCTAATCGGCACGCATTCAGTGTTATCGATACAAACTAAAATCCTGATAAGCCTGTATGGACGCACGGCATACAGTTATGGGGATACATAAGTAAAAGCAAGGTTATGATGATAAAACGTTTTCAAAACAAGGTACTAAGAAATATTGTAAATGCACCCTGGTACATTCGTAATGCACCATTTATAAATTTGAAATGTTGTCCAATGCGAGCTATATTGTGTGTAAAAAGTATTAGGA